TTTTCCTTCTATAGTTGGAGGGAGAAGCCTGGCTTGGGCTTCCCCGCCTGATTGTATATAGGTATGACTGTGTTTTTATGTTTTTAATTTACTTATCTTTAGATTATTTTATTTTTTAATGTACATAGTTTTTTATTATTATTTTACTTTTGTTAATTTTATAATATCTGTATATATGGTATGAATGTTCATATATCACTATAATTATTTTCCACGTGACAGATTGTTATATTAAAAACAGAAAAAACACGTTAGATGCGGTTACGGTCCTCGGAGTCCGATAATTTTAATTTTATCTTAGTTCTACAAAATATTGTGGAAAGGGGAGCGAAAAGATATTCTCACCTCCTATCTATTTTTATTGAGGGGGGACTATCGCCTCACTCACTCCCCCTCCCCCCGAAGTCTGCACATGTTCTTAACCTCCATGAAGATGGTCCGCCTAAAATTCCAATGAAGCTCTGACGTTCCCTGCAGCACGCAGTGTCCTTTGCCTTCGCCGTAGCTCCAATAACAACCGACTCCGACGAGCGTTGACTCTAAAGGAGCAGATATTCGTGCCAATGTCAGAGCCAGATATCCTGACATTTGAACAGAGCCGGCGGTTCAAGGGGAACCCCATTCCTCGCTGATCCTAGACCTTATTTCTATAATATTCTTAACTGATAGTTGCCACACAGCCGCTGGATTCCCGGCATTCCTCAATGCCTCATGCATTCTTCCAGCGTTGTAACCCCGAGGCGCTCTTGTCTGACGTTTTATATGATTTTCATTTATATATATATTTACAACTTTTCCTTAATCGACCTTTGAGTATTAAATTTAAACTTAGCTATTTATTGAGAATAAGGTCATCTAATTATTATTTAATAAACTATTGAATGTTCATTTCTTCTGTTTATTGACGTTTCGATCCCTGTATTTTCTTTTTATTAGTCAACCATTCTCAGCACCGTCCACTAGCACATATATTAAGCTACTCGTGGAATTATTAATTACTGGAATTACGATTAATTACGAGTAGCTTAATATATGTGCTAGTGGACGGTGCTGAGACTGTCAGTGTGTCCCTGGCCTGATCGAAGCTCTATTTTTTTAAATTCTAGCTTTAAAGAGAATCCCATGGTTGACTAATAATAAGAAAATACCGCGATCGAAACGTCAATAAACAGAAGAAATGAACATTCAATAGATTATTAAATAATAATTAAATGACCTTATTCCCAATAAATAGTTAAGTTTAAATATATATATATTTTTTTAAATTGAAAAATATTACATTCTGTCTCAAAGGACATTTATAATAGTGTTCAGAGATCACTTTCACACTCCATGAGCAATACATAAAATAAATTATACAGAAAAATAATATATATACAATAAATAAGAACAAAATAACCTAAAAATAAATACATAAAAGAACACATACATACCTATATACAATCCTGTATACATTCATTTATATGAAAAAAATATATATACATATTTATATTAAAAATATTTTTTTAAACTAACGAACGATTAATAATCATGACTTTTTGATTTTGTATTTTATTTTCTTAAAGACCCATGGCTCCTTAAAAAAAATCTAGTGTATTAAGCCCACACCATAGAGCTAAAAACATCAACAAGGCGATTAATAATATGAATATTGTAATATTTGTATATTACAAAGAGGATGAAATGTTGAATATTTTCTTCGCTTTCAGTGCGCAGATCGATTTTTAATCTCTGAATTTTTGGTTTATTATTTTCAATAATGCAACATTGTGATCGACCAAAAAATTCAAAAGCATAACCCCCTCTCAAAATTTGAGGTTTCACGTTTCAAGACGCGAAGATTTCGAAAAACGAATAAAAGATTTTATTAACTCGAAAGATTTTTACTTTCTTGTTGATATTGTATATAGTTTTATAGAGATTTACGAAATTTCCTAAAAAACAAAAAAAAAAAATAGTTAAATCGGACAATTAGGAGCAAGGATATGGTCTCCGTTTTTTTTTTTAATGTGTTCTACTCCAAATGTTATATCCTTGGTTTGGTTTTTAAATTTTAAATGTGTTACTGAACAAATGCTATTTTTTTAAGCATATTACTAATGATTAAAGAAAAACAGTTTAGTCCAATTATTGGAATCACCTTTTGTTTTTTTTTTCTTTGTAACTCGGAAGGTAATGTTACTTTAGATGTATAATTGTTTGGAGATAATAAACCATTGTGAAATAATTTGCAGCGTTTTATTTATTTATTGAGTATTACAAAAATCTGTCTCTTGGACATTAGTTATCGTGAGGTTGGATAACATTCATACTATATATATATATATATATATATATATATATAAAATATAAAATAAATAGAAGCAAAATAATATACAATATCAAGAATCAAAAGTATATACAATAAATAATAAAATAAAATAACCTAAAAATGAGAAAATTAAAACTAAGCAAAAAACATACGCATACCTATATACACTATTTTAATATTTTAATTCAAATGCAAAAATTATTCGGCTCGGGCCAACTTTATCCGAATAGGAACACTTAATTTCTTATTTATACGGTTCAATAAAAAAAAAATCTCTAAATACATACACATTCGTATACAATGAGGCATCTATTAGTATTATGCAATTATGCGGTTATGGTACTTTTTTCCCTTTCCGACTCAATAACTCGGCGTCACGTAAAAATAAAATTTTGAATTATTGCTCCATTACAAAGAAGATGAATAGCTGAAAATTTCCCTAGCTTACAGTATGCAGGGGGGGAAGGAGGTAGGATACTGAGCTTCCAAAGCTAAAGTTCCCAGGTTCGAACCCCGGCTCATGGCAGAAAAATTATTCTGGTTCATAGGCCGTGGGGCGACCCTGGGTAGATAGACTCCCCTGAGGCACACCCAGCCTCTATAAAGTGGGTACCCTTCATTGAAATAATTAATTAAGGGGAAAAAACTGGCGGTTGAGAGTAATCTCGGTCATTTCATCTCCTTGCATAACCAAGAAACAGTGATTTCCCTAAATAGTAATGAACCCAAGACTCTTCATGGGCTGTAGTGGTAGTTTTTTTTTTTTTTTTTTTTTACTGTATGCAGTTCCGGATTTCTGTTTTTGAGATATTTTAATCTAAATGTTCAAAGAATTTCGTAGTCATATTCTTTTTGACACTTTCTTTTTCCCTTTGCTTCTCTAAAACTGTGTAGCGTCGAGATATAATAACTCATTACAAAGAGGATGACATGCTCAATAACAAGAATTCCTTTATTTACTTTAAAATTGAATCGAATGGCCTAATAGCCAACGGCAGAGTCGTTAAATAAAAAAAAAAGCTGTATAGTTAGTCTACTCATACTTAAAAAGGAAAAACACCTAAACTAATACCGTTAACAGCTGGTGTTTAAAAATATATTTATTATCATATATAGGGGAATATATATTATAGATATAAATAATAGTATAAATATATTATATGACATGAATAATGTTAAAAATATCAATTCTTATTATTATGTGTATTATTTTTAAGAGAGTAAATTTAGATATTAAGCCCAAATTTTAAGTTGTTCGTTTATTATTCGTGATATATTACCAGATTATATATCAAATTCATATTTTTTTTTAATTTTTGAAACAGAGAAAATTTTATTGTTTTTTGTTTGCAGATGTAATCAGCTTTCAGTGAGTCCCGGCAAAGTTGGCCTGTTTATTTATTTAAATTCAATCAATCACGAGTGTCTGGAACAATAAGCCCACCGCTGACGAGATAAGCCTATTATTAAGTCAAACTAATGGTTTAAAACATTGCTATCTAGATTTATTACGGTTTGCTTTTTCTTCATTTTCTGTTGGGAAAATAAAATAGGCACTGGGAGTCCCAAAAATGTAGTTAGCGCTTTGTGTTATAAGCAAAAAACTGAAATTCTTAGCAACTACATAGGTTATGTGCGGTAGCGAAAAAAGAAAAAAAAAAGTACTCTTCATAAATTTTCCATAATTTGAGCTCAATTACAATAATCTAGGTCGAATGAGGAAATGGTACCCAATCCAAAACCCCTTTCGAATTTACCCCTAAAATACCCCTCTAAAATACAGAAACTTCGAAAAGTTTTCATTATTTAATAAATTTCATTTATAATTTCGGTAACTTACAGTTTTATTGATGACCTTCACTAAAATATAACTAATAAAGTGTTGGCTGGTTGTGTTAATAAATTTAAGACATTGTCTATTTAATTATTTAATAAAAACTCGTAAATACCCATTTGTTTTCAATTGAATCGTAATATAATTTAAACACAAAATCGATAACCTACAAAAATATAGGGCCATTTGGCCTATATAACCTCGTTATTTTGACAATTTGGGAGTGTAGATCACGCCAAAGGCTGATTTGCTGAAGTTATCTTACGATTGAAATGAAAAGCATATCGGTATCTACGAATTTTAGCACCTAAATAAATAGACAAAGTTTGCCGGCCTCCAGATTGAAAACGCCCCAATTCCAAGAATTTTCGTAAATATAATATTTGTAGGTTACGATGAGGTGAATGTATTTACGAAGTTTTAGCCGGATGTTAATAATTTGTTAAAAAGGCTGTTAATAATTTGATTATAATGAGAGGTGATATAAGTTTTTTTGTAGAGGAATGCAGGTGACAAGCATAACATGTAATAAGATTTGATTAAATTTTCAGGGATTATAAGAGTTGCTATCTAGATGCTCCAATATAAATTCTATTAAATTTCAAATTTCAAAATGCTTGTTTTGATGTGGGTTTTTCTTGGATGATAATAATAATAGTAACCTTTATTTGTACATAAAATGCAACAAAAATGGATAAAAAATAGATATATACAAAATCTTTACATTTTGATTTATACCTAACATTCTTATTTGCACAAAATCAACATTTTAGTTGAGGTTTTGAGTTCGATTTTCTTTTTTTTTTCCTATCTCCCTTGCAACCACACTAGGTAATGAACCTGTCCCATCCATTTCTACTCTTTCCTCTCCAATGGAAGAGAGTACTCTTCCAGGCTGCTTCCCCGCAGGTCTTCTTCATCTCCTTGTCCCAGTCCGTCAGCGGACGTCCTCTCCTCCTCACGTGATCTCTTGGATACCAATCCAACTGCCTGGTCCATGTGCTTCCTGATCTGCACTTTTTCCACAATATCTGGAAGGTCAGTCTTAGCTCCGATCCATTTATTTGTTTTTCTATCCATTCGTGTTATTCCGAGAAGTCCAATATATCGCTCCATTCCTCTGACGGTTATCCTCAATTTGTGACATTTACCCATGGTGGAGCACACTCTTCAAATTTAAGGATATATATAGATCCTCGGTGAGCCCAGAGAAAACTTTGGATGAGCACAGTACTTCCTGTCATGGCATATGGTTGTGAAACATGGATAATTGACCAGAAGACATGTCACGAATCGAGGTTTTTCTTGGATATACTTCAAAAACGTTTTTTCCTACATTTTATTCTCAAATGATAATTCTTGAAATATAGATAATCATGTGGTAAATAGAAATAGTGGGGAAACTACTTTGAACTTGGCAGACCTTTTTATACAATTTTGGGCTCATCAAGTAAAAAAGTTTTAATATCCATCACGGTTGAATGAGTGACAAAACATTAACAGGCATTAAGTGACGGTAATAGTATCGAAGGTATGAAACATCCATTTTATGAATGGAGCCTACGAAACAACGCCCCCTCAGCGAAGTGTCAGCGGGGATTTGGCCTCAGCAAGTGGGCCGCTAAATTAATCACACTTTATACGGTCACTTGACCAATAGAATCAATTAATTACAATCCCTTTGAGTGACACTCCCCTCCTGATATAATTCCCGGTGCGAAAGTCAAAAGCCCCACGATTGATGTTATACCCGAAATTGAAAACAAATTCCGAAATTCCAACTACCTCAAAAGGCTGAACAATTTTCGTCTCCCTTTTGTTGATACGACGGCCTTGGAATACTTAACGAAGCGAGCTAAAACGTTTTATGAATGAGTTATAAATATGAATGACATTAATCATAATCAAATTTACATTTAAATATGAAATGGAAGCCCACAGCTGCTGCCCGGTTTGTGGTTGCAGACTGTTTTTCATTCCGGACGCTAACATTGGCAGGATACGTATAAATTATATTCTTCACTCGTCGTCTTTTTTCCATTACCAATCTTATTTATTACTTTCTTTGATGATATATTACTTCTGAGCGGAATAAATCTTGAATATAATTCAGAATATTTATAAAGTTTTGGCATAAACGTAAATATATACCGGTGCGGTTGATTCGGCATTGTATATATGATAACCAGTTTTTAAAAATGTATTTAACAATATATTATACAAACAAATCAACTTCCATTTTCAAGAATATAGTTATGGAACGGCCATTTCAATATTTAATAGTACCAATAGCTATAGTACTAAGCAGAAGCGGATTTAGGAATTAATTGATTAATGAAAGGAGAGGAAGAGGTTTTTTTTTTTAATACTGATTATTACTTGGGAGGAGGAAAAGAAGGAAAATATATATAAAATGATGTTTTCGTCCAATAATGCCTATAAAAAAAGTTTATTCAGGAACAATAATCCTTATAGAGATACTTTTCGTAATATTTTCTTCACATGTTTAGTTTTAATTAACTATGACATTTAGTTTTGTTCTTGTTTGTTTGTTTTATATATTTATTTATTTAGGTGTACTTATTATTATTTTTTTTCCTTTAAGAATGTCCGTAAATATTTTATTTCACTTCAAGTTACATTTCTTTTGTTTTTATAACATTTTTGCCTTTGTTAGAAATCTTTTAATTTTATTCGATTATCCTTATAAATAATATTTTTTTAACTGAGTTGAAATTTTAAATGAATATCAGGACCAATTTTTTTAAGAAGCAATAAGATATCTGAAAACTTTACAACCTTGTATTTCCTATTCCTAAAACAGATGTATATATATATATATATTGGAAATAAAAGGTTATTAAGTTTATATATATATAGGTACATATAATTTATAATAATATTTTTTATTTCAGTTACGGAACATGCAACGAAAATTATTGATAAAACTGATGATCTTCAAGGTAAGGTACCATATAGTAATTAGTAGAAAGAATCAGGAATGCATTTATGTCTTCTAAGAGTGTAAAGGAACTTAATTCAACCTTTAAGATTGTTCTAAATGTCTGAAAAATTTGTAAATATTTAAGATTACAGCAATATTATAAGTTGTAGTGCTGATAAAAGTGACTTGGACACATGAAGAGATTTGCCATTATAAATATTTTGTAGGTGTTTAGTTTTAATATTTTAATTTATGACTTAGTTTATTGAATAATTAATAATTTATAAACCTGTTTAATAAATATATTTTTTGTAGTTATTTTCCGATTTCCATCTATATCCCTAAGTTTGAATACTTGGGTTCAGTATTAAATACTCAGAGAATACTTGGCCCATATAGAGGAGTACTCGCTAAGAACAGCAATATATGTCTCAACAATGTATTGATTCCTCAGGTGGGGGGTGGACCAAGGCTGAAGCTAAGGTAAATTGAGGGGGAGATTCGTTTTGCCCTTAATAGACCTACAAGAGAGTGAAGGGCCGAGGGCCCCAACCCCCTGGGCATCTCTTGCAATCTCTACAAAGTCCGGTGCTATTAGGGGATGGAAATCGGTCAACAAGGGATCAAGCTACTCAACAAAGGCCCACTATCCTCTTCTTTTCTCCAGTGCTAATTGTCTCCTTAATCTGTTTCAAACAGGAGCCTTCTTCAGGCTATTTATCTCTTTTGCGTCTGTCCGTGCAATTAAATGAATTACTTACATAGTTTATCTCAATACTAATGGGTATATGTATATTACCTGAGTTATCAAAAGAATTTTTAAAAAATTAGAATCAATACCAATACAAACTAGGTTTTAAAACGTCAAATGATTCAAAATGATGGAATGAAAATAGAATTATGAGTTCCAAGAGTTTGACTACATAAAAAAAAATTGTTAATTTTATTTTAGTTAAATTTAAATTATTGATCTCGATTTCTTTATAAATTTATTCCATTTTTTTTTTAATGGTTTTCTTGAGTATTAATACAGTCTGCCACACTGAAAGGCATTAGTATTAGGGCTATAGTATTCATTCACACAATTTGTACATACGAAAGGAAAACAAAGATAAATAACCAAAGTAGAAAAAGAAAAAATATATATATATATAAATAAAAAGATAAAGTAATATACAAGATCAATAAAATAACAGATTAAAGCCCAATGATAATAAAATAAATACAACACATTCACACCTATGTACAATATTTACATTGGCCCAGGGAACTCTGAATCAAGCTTTGTCCCCAAATGTGGAAGCCAAAGTAGGACTCCAGGTGATCCCAGTGCTTCTCTCCCAGCCGCGTCACTGGTATTTGAAGCCAGTTATTATTCCAAAATTAAGCTATTAGTATGGATGGAACATTGTTATTTGAACTGTATGATAGTATATAAAACTCAATTAATTAATCAATACTTTAAAAAACCTGGTACGTTTAATAAGCACCATATTACATTCACATACCGCCATAATATGTGTAGGAATAGGTATTTCCGGATACAGGCAAGTGGAAACTATAGATGATACAACATATTAATATTCATCTAATCTATTACATTTATGAATATTTAACTCTCCGTTCCTACTAGAAATATATATAGGGTTTCCCGTAAGTAGAGGGAAATTTTTATAGGAGCAATACCAGATTTCAAGAGCTACAAAAAAGTGTATATAAATAATGGCCCTATTTCCAGCATGAATGTAGAAAATCCAAGTTATGAGTATTTCTAGGTAAGTCGTGTTTTTTGTGAATAGGAAGCGATAACTAAAGAAACATTTAATTTAAGTAATTAGCAATCACTTCACTGTAATCTGGACAAAATTTACTTTAAATACAAATAGAGGTTGTCATTATGAAAACCATTTAAAGAGGAATTTTAAGTGGGTAAACTAAGCGAAAAATATCATAAACTATTCCCTTTTTTTGTTATTATCATTTAACTATATCACTCCACTTTTAGAAAAACTTTCTCGTTTAATAAAGTATTTTAGTTAGTTTAATAAAATTATTTTCTGGCTATGTTGAGCAATTGTAAAATTTTGAAGTACAAAGATAACATTAATTTTTTTAAAGTTACATGACGGTTTCTCGGAATAAACCGACGTTGTTACCTAATTATTTAAATTAAATATCAGATCTAGAGTTATTAAACTAAAGTATATATATATATATATATATATATATATATATATATATATATATATATATATATATAATAAATAATTTAAGGTTATAAACATATGCTTTATTCATATGAAGTAAACATATGAAGTATTTTTCTGCTTTATTTCTTCTTTCACATTTGAATTTAACAATGAAATAACTTTTTAAACTATTGCCCTGATTAGATGGATTTTAAAAACTTTTTTTTTCAAACTTAAAAAAGTTTACATTTAGTTAGTGATTTGCATTTAATTTTCTTGAAAACACGTTAAATAATAATAGTCTTCAAAAATTAGTATTTATATTTTTTTTTCACTATCCATTACTTTCGACGACCTTCTATATCATATATTGTTTTTAAATAAAATTTTCCGCTTTCCAACGATATATTATACGTATACCTTCTGACTATTATATCCGAAGATTCATTTTTGAGCTCAATAAGTATTTTTCCTGTTTTCTCCTTTATTCAATAATCAAATTCTTAAAAAATTTATATTTAGCTCTTTTTCATTATTTATATCAATAAGGAGTAGTTAATTATTTAAAATAAACCAAATTAAAGGTGCTTAAGAGGAAGCCATGTTGATATAAAAACCTACATAATTGATATAAAAAAGCATATAAAAACCATAAATATACAATTTCACATTCGTATCCCTTTTCGTTTTTGAGCTAGACTGATAACATATACACAGACACACGGAAACACAAAACATTTTGGGAGAGTTCGTAATTTGGACTCAGGGGACCTCAAAACGCGTATTTCCGTTAAAAACTCAGATTCGGAAATTTCCACGCAATACTTTCCCTTATTATATATTATATATGCATATAGGTAAGTTAAAGTAAAAATTAGTGAGATGATTTCTAATTTGAACAAAAATCTTATAGTTCGATTTTAAAATCCGTTGTCGTTGACGTCATTAATTTGAATTTAGTAAATTGAATACAGATCCCATGAGTTTCATCCACTCAGTTTGATACAGACATGCCGCCCCGA